GCATGTCTTTAATTTAATATCCTTAAAAATTAAAGTAAATGTAAGTAAGTATTGAATATATGTACCTGCATACCAGTATACCAGTTTTCGGACAATCTTTTAGTCACTATTTGAACAATTTTCCGGAAAAAATAAATTGAAAATATCTTAAATATGGTTACAACTGAACAACATATCTTTCCGAACACACGAGTTATAGAAAAGTGGAATGCGTAATAAAATTCTTAAATTAGCATGTACATAATTCTTTTCTATGCTACTCTACACGAAGTTGATGTACTTTAACTATTTGAAAAGAAAGTATTATCTTCGCACAAATAGTAATATATTGTACAACTTTATAGCTCTATATTTTGTATTTGCTTAAGAATTTTGCACTAAATTGAAATATAATCAACATTTTTAAGTTGATCATTTTTCATATACATGGACGATGCTTAATTTTGTATATATATTATATTATATTTATGTATATTATATATTATATTATATTTATATTATATTATTTATTTGTATTATTTTGTGTATATATATTTATTTATTATTTATATATATATGAAACCTTATTAAAAAATCGAAAACTTCAATTTCGCCACAGGCCCACACAGGCGTGTGATGAAGGTCGACTCATTAACGATTCTGTCTCTAGTATATCCAGGGAAGGTGAAAGGTGAATTTATTGTGGTTTCGAGCAAATTTTGGCAGGAGGAGGACTGCTATAAAATTGCTGGCTGCTTTCAGAAACCACATCAGTCCTCCAAACAAGACAAGCCATACACATCCACTTTCAAAATGAAAACAGTAGGTATCATCGAGGATAACAGAGTGTTATATTTGCTAACATTTCTAGTAATGAATTTGTTTTTACAAGTTTTTAAATACATTTTATAAATACCTCTAGCAAATAGATACACTATATTGTAAAGCGACTATTAACTGCTACGTTTGATACAGAATAATTCTAACAATAATATTGAAAAATTTGCATATGAAATATTTCATTTTTTCTAGATCATTGTCTTCGCCGCCCTCGTCGCTATTGCTCTGGCTGCGCCCGCTTTACGAGAACCGGAAGTTGTACTCCTTAAAGAGACTCCGTCCGATAATGTTGGTCTGGGCAACTACAATTATGGTTTTCAACTGTCCGATGGTTCTTCCAAGCAAGAGGTAGCGGAATTAGTTAATGGCGGCACCGATGGTCAATTCCTGAAAGTTCGTGGCAGTTTCTCTTTCGTCGATCCGGTTACCAACGTTGCCTACACCGTCAACTATGTTGCCGACGAAAATGGTTTCCACCCTGAAGGAGAGCATCTTCCTCAAAATTAAATGTTTCTGGAACACGCCCGACACCCGACTAATCTTGCGAATAACGTGCCAACCATCGTACCATAATAATCAATTCTAATCCCATTGAAACTGAAGCTCAGATTACTTTAACATCTTCTATCGAAGACATTTGTACATAACATTTATTCACCAGTCTCCTTCCTTGTAATAGTGCTGTTGATGTTGAATAAAGACGAAACTTATTAAAACGAAAGAGTACCTAATTTTTTAGATATCTCTTTGATACCTCGTCTATGCCAGAAGCCCATTTTCGTATGAGACACGCGTAAATTTGGTGATTGGTCCATTCTAATACCTGATGTGTGGTATTATACTGTATATTGTATATGTACTACAATAATTTAACAATCAACTATTGAAGTATTTTCAAAACAACAGTAAACTTTGGTTAAAATTAATCAATTGGGAATTATCCTTCACAATGAGAACAATTATTGAACAGCTATATTGTTCATCTTCTTTTTAAAAAACTACAGTCAACTTGAACGGATTTATTCGCGATGTATAAGATAAAGCTTCAAATCAAATATACAGGGTGACTCAAAATTATGGTACTTCCGGGAAATGAGGGGTTCCTGAGATCATTTGAAGTAACTTTTTCCTTAGCGAAAATGCAATCCGCGGTTTCATTTACGAGTTATTAGCGAAAAACGGTGACCAATGAGAGGCGAGCTCGGCTGGCGCGAGCCGAGCCAGCCAACGAGTGCACGGAACCCAGTTCCGCTAATTGGCTCGGCCGCCTAGCGCTAGTCGAGCTCGCCTCTTATTGGTCACGGTTTTTCGTTAATAGCTCGTAAACGAAAAACCGCGGATTACATTTTCGCTAAGGAAAATGTTACTCCAAATTACCTCAGAAACCCCACATTTCTCGGAAATACCATAATTTTGGAACATCCTGTAGATTTGTAGCGGCCGTTGATATATGGTACTGTGGACAATGGCCGTACAGATCCTCAACGGACAGTTTGTGACACGAACAACAGTAAAGCTATTTTTGAGAAAACCGTTCCAACGCGTACTATGAGTATTAAAGAAAAAGCATATTTCCCATTCTTCGTAATCTTTCGTTTTCGATCTCAATAGCAAATGCTATAAATCACAGCTGGCTCACAGCCGATCCGTGACCGGCCGCATCACGTGTCGAACAGGCCTAGTGGAAATTCCGTGACCGCGATAATAAATTTGCAGTCACGGCCAAAAAGCCGTAGGAAAGGACGCGCCTGATTGGTCAGCGCGCTGCTTAGTGCTGACCAATTAGAAAAAATTGTGACGTAGGGAGAACACCCCCCGATTCACCAGCGAGCAGAGGCAAGGAGATGTAAACACTCTTGCTGTCGACCTGATCGGGTGAAGACCGTCTGCCGAGTAAATAAAGTTCCGTGTATAGATCAAAACTTGAATTCATTTCACGAACTCGCATACTCCAAACCCCCAACAGAGCAATACTATACTTAAACATGATATAATAATAATAATAATTTTATAATGGGAATATATAATAAAAAAATAATAAATAATTATATAATGAGAATATAATTTTTATAATGAAAATTGTAATAATTCA